TGAGCTGCTGGAGTGTGTCCAACGAAGAGTAACAGAGCTGGTGAAGGGCCTGGAGCACAAGTCTGATGGGGAGCGGCTGAGGGAGCTGGGGTTGTTAGGTCTGGAGAAAAGGAGGCTGAGGGGAGACCTGATCGCTCTCTACAACTACCTGAAAGGAGGTTGTAGCCAGGTGGGAGTTGGTCTCTTCTCCCCGGTAACTAGCGATAGGACAAGAGGAAATGGTCTCAAGTTGCGCCAGGGGAGGTTCAGGTTGGATATTAGGAAGAACTTAAAAAAAAATAGGCATTGGAACAGGCTCCCCAGGGAGGGGGGGGAGTCACCATCCCTGGAAGTGTTCAAAAAACGTTTCGATGTCGTGCTTCAAGACATGGTTCAGTGGGTTTAGCGGGCATGGTGGTGTTGGGTATAGGGTTGGACTTGATGATCTTTGAGGTCTCTTCCAACCGTAATGATTCTATGATCCTAAAAGCTGGGATAAATTTTTCAACATGGAAAATGCTACTTTTTTTCTCTACACTCAGTCTCAGGAAGAGTGGAATAGTTTTTTCTTGAAACTTTCCTCAAAAAGAAAGAAAAAAAGAAAAAAGAAATAGCCTGAGGCAGACATGTGGCATGGAAAATGCTAGCCTAAATGGTTAACATATAGACAGACTTTAAGCAACTGAAGACAGGGCTTTAACAGAAACCATCAGGCAACCTTATCTATAGGTGCTGCTACCTGCTGTGCCTCTAATTACACCTTTTAACAATCCTTACCATTGCTGAACAGGGAGAAAAAAAGATGAGGAAAGAATTTTTCATGGGATTTTAATGCTCTGGAATACTTTAATGTATAATAATGCCTAGTGGTGACCACCTACTCCATGCAGAAAAAATCTCCAAGCGTTTTTTAAGGCTTTGGCTGACAAGACAGCAGTGGTGACCACCAAAGGAAGTGAAATTCATTGCTTTGCCACGTTGCAGGGGGTGGTAGAGGGTGCAGCCTGGGCCCCCTGCGCCCACAGGGACATGTGCCTGGCTCCCGTCTCCCAAACTGGCCGACAGCCCTAACACATTACCACACCGTGCGCACATGAAATAACGTCAGGATTAGGTTGTAGTGGGCAACTTGTACAGCTGGGCTAGTGGTGTGGGGAGAGCACAGAGGGACTCCCGCTTTGGGGGTCTCTCTGGAGTGCCTCCTTCCCAGGGACGTGCCACGAGGGGAAGGTCCAGGTCGGCAGGGGAGTCTGCCTGTAACTCTGTGTGTGTGTATGTGTATGTCTGCGCACATATGGCAGTGTTGTGGGATTACAGAACAGTGTTAGGAATTTGTAGGAATTCAGTAAGATTTTGTAAATGGCTGGTGTTGTATTACCAATACTGAACAGATCATCCACTGATTACCTTCTAATTATGTGTTGTTAATAACTTCCTAAAAATGCTTCAATCCCGATTTTGATTTACACTAGGTGAACTGAGAGGTTTTCATCCTGCAAAAAGCATCAGTCTGACAGAAGGGTGCTTTAGTAGCATGATACCCCTGGCTCCTGTTGCTCCCCTTGGGGTGTAGCATGTGGCATAGGACCTGACGGGATGCTGCCAGTAGCTCATATACACAAGGGCTAATGCTCTGCAAACCCATCTAGTTTTCAATGTTGCAGAAAGGGTTTGATTTAATGTGAAACTTTGCAAGTGAAAAATAGGAGAAAGGAGGCAGGACAGAAAGCAGAAATGAGCAGCACATTGGGAGGCAGAAAAGGAGATCTAAGCCTCTCCTGAAGGAAGGTGCGACTGAGAACGCCAGGATGAATGACACCACGGGGACGGATGTGCAGTGGCAAAGGAGGAGATGACAGTATCAGTTAGAAATACTAACAGACAAGGAGGGAGAGATGAAGCAGAGCTGCTGAAACTGGCACTCAAAGAACAGTCAGCAAGACAGGAACGACTAGAAAAAATGGAAAAATAGAAAAAGAGGGGGAAACAGAAGAGGAGGTAGTGATTTCTTGTGCTGGAGGGAAGAGAGAATTCAAACAGAACATGAAGAAAGAAATGTTTGCTTGAACTGCCTAGAAAAGCAGCAGATGGGAGGACAGTTTGGTCCGAGAGAGACGAAGGTGGACTGAGAAGCATCAGGCAAAGCAGAAAGCCACCCGAGCAAAATGCCTGGAGGCAGGATTAGAGGGATGGTGGTGGCCTGAGAAAGTTTTGCAATAAAACTAAAAATTAAATGGTTCTAGTCAAACCTGGAAGGAAGAGGAAAAGTCAGCATAAGGAAAATAAAACTGGGAATAACAAGGAAAAAACCTTTCTCTATATCCTGTTTCTTGCATTTTTCCCTTGTATAGAAAAACAGGAGAGGTCTGAACTTGTCTGATGTAATTTTCATTAATTTTAGCATTGAAAGTATTTCTGTTCAGGAAAGTGTCTAAGTCTCATTGGAGTGAAAAGGACTTAGATACAGGCTACTGTAAAATATAACATTAAATGCTTCCCAGCCACATTCCTGGATCATCAACATGGTCTCTGATTTAGCACCAAAGCCGCAACAACACAGAGATTATGTGACAAATGCTGCAGATGCTATCTGTGGGTCGACTTTGTTTCAGCTTGTGTATTTTTTTGTTTCTGAAAGTGATCAACGTTCATGTAAAAGTTGAAAGTTGTGACTCTAGATGATTCCAAAACTACGTTTCTCCTTCCACTGGTAGAGGATTAGCAACCAATTCAATTTGACAGTGATGTCTTGTTAGCATCTGTGTATGTTTATTTCTTGTTTTCAGCACGAGAGCTGACCACAAGGGAAGTTAGTCTGCGCACATATGAAACTTATTTAATTGGTTAATTTGTGCAATATCATTGCATTTTATTGTTTATATTGTTTTACATTAAAGAAAAATACATACTCTAGCAAAAGCTGACAAAAGATGACTACCTAGAGTGGATTGTTGCCCATTATTCTTCTATTGTATTTATTTAAATTAACCTGAACATTTATATCAGAAGAATTAGTGATAGCAAAATGGGTACAACTGATGAGAAAAAAAAATAGTTAAAGAATGCTTAATCCCTTCTTTAGCTGTATGTTAATAGGTGCTGAAGGGCTGGTTAATGATCTCTGCCAATAATAGCACAAAGGCGATATTGTCAGGGCAGCTCAGGAGGCCCGGAGCTTGTGGGCTGAAATCCCTATGGCACATCAAATTCTGGAATTTTGTTGATGAAACTAGGGTAGCAAAGTTCCAGTTTTACAAGATCAGGAGGTGCTTCCTATAGAGAAGACTACTACCAGAGCCAACTAGTACCTCTGAAAAGAAAACAAACAGGAAAAATTCTGGATAAGCTCAAGGTCAGGTGAAGCTCAAAGTTCCAAAATCATAATATAGACTAAAACTTTCCTTTTTCTTTTTTTCCTAGATAACATGGTGAGAAGTTCTGCTTTCATTCATCATTTCTTGACATAATGGTACAAACTCCTAAAATTACGTCACTCTATGAAGTGCAAGAAAACTTCTTAAACCATCATTTTGAGGCTTAAAACAAAATACAGCTCAGGTGTGAGCTCGTTTCCTATGTCCAAGCCTGTTGAGAGGGTAGTCCACGCTTGGGTACTGAGGGAATGGGAGGAGAAGCAAAGACTTATGGACAACAGGATGCTACTAAACATCAGAATGACCCATTACTGTAGTCCTGTACAGTAACACACAGTCGCCAGTATATAAAAAACAGACATAAGAGTTGAAGAAAAAAGGTCTTTTAGTTGTAGAGACCCGTTCATTATGCAATCAGGTACACAAGAGATGTTGTAAGATGTATTACTAAATGCGCTGTGGTATCATAAGCCCTAAAGTAAGGTTATCCGTCAGTACCCTCCCTTTCTGCCTCAAGCAATAACTCATTTCAGGGTAGAATTAGCCATATTTTATTCACTCACACACGGTGAACCTTGAAATGAGTATCTCTCATTCCTTTCCTCATGTTCCCATCTCTGTTACTAATGCCTCCTTTATAAAGCTGTGCTTTTCAAAGTATCTGGGCACATCTGTTTTCTCTTTTCTTCCTCCACCCATCATGTCACCATCTCTAACAAGTTTTTGCTCCCTCAGTAACTGTTCTGGTTTTTTCTTGCTCGCTAGTTCCCCTTTCTGTGTTCTTTGGACACCTATCCAAGAGTGTATCTGTCCTTCTGGCATGTGCTTCCTTCCTTCCTTCACACCTCCATGTGCCTCTCAGGTCCTGTGTCTGCAAAACTCATTCCCAACATATACACCCCATGTGGCTTCCTTCCCTTCTGCTGTTTAATCTGGAAGAAGAAACCTAATTCAAAGTATTGCACTGCCCCTCCTTGAGCTTAATAAAACCTACCTCTCTGCATTTGCTACGGCTTTTTTGTCAAAAGCCTTTCCTTCCCATGTTCCTACAGCCTAACGATTGCTTTTTCTTGGAATGGAAACAATCTCCCTGACATTCCTTCCCTTGCCAAATCTGTATCACCTGGTAAGTTCTCCAAGTTAATCTGTGATGTTTTATATATTGTCACTATGCCGTTGTCCTACTTCTTCAGCTTCTGGGGAGGATTTATTCCTCTCAGGACAAAACTTGCCACAAGTTGTCTACGCATCTAATACTACTGCTAAGCTCAATCTTTACAAAAATATTTATTTTAATGAGCATGTGGGATAAGACTTTTAGAAGTTCCTCCCAATACTGTAAGTTACGTCTTTTCAGCAAATGACACATTAAGTTTGGAAACTAACAGCTTTATAACGTGGTTACATTCTCCACATACAAGAGTGGTTTTAGAGATGCCACAGATGCACAAAACTGGTTCCACCTTACCTTTGACGTGGCTTCTCCCATCCTCCAACAGTGGTACTACTATAGTGTTGTTCATATTCCCAGGTGATCTCACAGCTGTATAGACGACAGGTACCGACTGTACCACCACGGGGATACGGTGCACATGACTCATTTTGTTGGACTGCAAGTTCATGGGGCTTGAAGGTGGTACTGGATGGATAATGTGCAAAAATTGCTGGCCTCCAACACCAGATGCAGAGGCCACAAGAGGACCTGGAGTTAATACTGACGGTACAGATGCTGCTGAGGATACCGATGTTATTACTGTGGGTGATGAAGCTGGCCGACTAGAAGAAGAAGTAGAAGTAGAAGAAGGGGAGGAGGCTGATGCTGTCATGGAAACCGGTGACGATGAAGCTGCTGTAGGTGATGACCTGGCTTTGTTTATTGACAAGTCCACTGGTTCAGTCTGTGTTTGAAAATGGTCTGTAGATAATGAATCCTCCGAGGGATCTGCCTTCATGTTGTTTAGTAACAAGGGTACAGCTTCCATATCTGGGTAGTTGTGGATGTTTGGAGACTGCTGAGGAAGGACAAAGGGACATAGTCACATATGCGGCTCAACATGACTTGCACACTCAATTGCTAACACACATCACACAACTTGGTCATGAAAGCCACAGGATTTGTTTCCTTTTCTTCTGTCAGTTCATAATTTTAAAGGACAAATCATGCTAGAAAGCACAGACATGTTCAGTTTGAACAGAGTATTAAAAAAAAAAAAGTCCTACTCCCATTTCTTAGAAGGTGGCAGGATTAACTGTACAAAATCACCCTCTTTCTTTGCCCTAGACAAAGTCATCAGTGACAAAAATTTTAATATCTCCACAGGTAACCACTATTTCTATGGACTGCACATTTCTTCCCAAGATCTAACTTTAAGCTACAGCATCACTTTCTTGTGTCATCTCCAACGGACATGAAGAAAACCTGGTCACCACCATTTTTCAAACAACTCGAAGACTGTAACTTCCCCTTACTTGTCTACCTTCTTCTAGGCAGACTTTGCTGCTTCTTTCTGTCACAAGTCAGCTTTAAAAGAACAAGCCTTAGCACACTTGTTCGCTCTTTACAGCGATCTTTGCAGCTTTGTCCACACCACGTTTCAGAAAGTGGTGCCTTACGCTAAGCACAGTCCTTCAGTTCAGTGTTTGACTTTTTGCATTCTGTACGGTTACTGATAATGAACTTACAGGTCGGAATAGAGACCCATGTTTGTATGGTTGTGCTGTTACAGGCAGCAACGGCTACAGAGATTTGTTACTCTGAATTAGCACATTAGATCGCCTTCCCCATTGTTATAATTTTAATTTTTTAAATTTTTTCTGTACGAGTTAAGAACAATTTCCCTGACTTTGCAAAGTAATTTTATGCTTTAGACCAACTCTTTCAAAGCTGGTTGGTCTAAATTTATTCCAGACTGGTGCCATCTGCTATTTTTATAGTTTTATTCCTTATTTCCATCATCAAAGAGGTTAACAGAATTTTTGAATAATGCTAGACCAAAGATAGATCCCTGGAGAAGCTCATTTGATGTATCTTTCCTTTTTGACAGTACTTCATTAATAACTACTCTTTAAAAATGTTTTTTCAAGTAATTTTCGATAGGCAGAGCAAGGAAGGAAATGCCCATCGATAACCTGGTAGTAAGACAAAGCACAGCTCTCACCTCCTCAGCTGGCACTGCACTGCACTGCAGCAGAGCTCCTCTACAGGCACACACAACACCGTTATGTGCCGTACTATGGAAAACCAACCTCAATAAAAAACATTTGACAAGCTACTTCAAATCTCACTTGACCCAAAGCAATTATGCCACACAGAGATCTAACATGCAATCTTTTTATGGTACCTAAGCAGCTCTAAATGTATTCTCTCAATCTCTAGATTATAATATTTACTAAGTGTCTAAAAATACTGTCAGAAATATTTAAGCCACAAATACTTTAGTTTGTCTACTTGAAATAAGCTAACAATCAAGCAAGCTATGAATTGATTTTGGGATTTTTATAATCAACTACGTTAAATATTTTCATGGAGAACCCTCCTGGTTTTGAGTCAGAGCCAAATTTCGTCACAGAATGGAGTTCTATTGCAAAAGGAAAACAGAGACATCAATATTAAAAATTGTATTAATAACAGCCTAAGTGGATATTATCTCTGGCATGCTGAAAGCTGAGATGTTCTAGTAGATCCCATCTATTCAGCTGATTTAGACTGGTTCTTAGATCTGGCATCTTCCCCCATTCGAAAGCAGGAACATCTCTGGAACAGGGAGTCTCTTCCTCTATTCATACACAAATCAACTTAAAACAAAGGGATCCCAATTCATCCAACCCCTGGACCCTGCTGTTCTGCTGCAACACAAATAACAAAAGCAAAAAATCCGTTTATAAAGACAATGGGAAATTCTCCTGCTAAAAAAGAACACAGAGTGAAGAACAGGTTATTTTTCAAAGTGCATAACCAGCTACGAGTAACAAGGTTACAGAGCCCCTTCCTCAAGAAGGCAAAACCGCCTGTAATTGCCCAGTGAGGGTTCCTGGTAACTTCCTCTGAAACGCCTTTTCCTGGCTAGTGTCAGAAATGACATCTTGCATTAGGCATATCATATGTGCCATGATAAAGACAAAACTATAAACATACATGGCACAAGTAGTTAATTTGTCAAATCTTGACATGTCTTATATAGGCAACGGGCAATCAGCCTGGTTCTGCTGAACTAAACAGATTGGTGGTAGAATGAAAGCAAGGCGAAGAGGGACACCGTGCACAGGCTATACCCAAATCTTCGTAAGGCAAAGGCAACATCTTCTGTCTTCAACATTTGAGAGAAGGGGGATAAATGGGATCAACTCACGTACAAGGGAGATGAGGGATCTCCTTATGCACATGGCTGGGTAGGGGTCATCAAGAAGCAGTACAAATCGCCAGCTCCATCCACAGGGCAGATAAATGTGCCACAGAGGAAATTCTACATATTGACATACTTCCAGGCTTCGCCCGGGTGCCAGAGGCAGATTTCAGGTTGATCCAATGCCGCCTGCCTCAGCAGCACAACTTGTTACTGTGTGAGCCGGAGGACGGATTACCCCGCTGTTGCTGTCCTGCGTTGCTCTGCAGAGCACCGTGAAGTGCTCCAAGGGCACCAGGGACTTGATGTACCCAGCATACACAGTCAGACTGCTCCCAGGAGTCTTCTGACTTCTAGGATACTTCCAAGACTGGACAAAAGGGATCCACATGGACCTCAAAAGCCGTCCATCACCAAAGGGAGCACAGTCCCATCCCGAAGACCCACCCACCTTCGCAGCAAGCAGCATCAGGTCCCTCACAGGAAGAGTAAGGAAGAACCCCAAACCCTTATGTAGCTGATACCACACGAAGTACTTGTTCCATGGATAGAAGCAATTGTCTTTGAGACAAAGCACAGGTCATGACTTACAGATTTTTCTAGATTGTGATAAGAACAGGTCTTTTTTAACTATAGTAATTATACCTAGTCTTTTGGGAATTAAAAATTAAACGGAAAAAACTATATCATACAAACCACTTTCTCTTTTAATAGTTCTTCGGCAATTACTTTTGTACTATACATTCCTTATATTGCATCTGCCTCCTGGTAGGTACCCTCTTCTTGTCCAAAGCTGCTGGAGGGGCCATGCAGTCTCTACATACTATGGCAATACAGCTGATATTACTATTTCAGTCTTCAGTAGTGAAACGAAACTTGAAACCTTTACAATCCCTTCATGAATTTCTCCAAACAGGATGAAAACTGGTATGCCCTTCAATGACCTCCTTTCCCTGCCAGAAATCTTAAGACTAAGAATGCCCTTTCTTTGGTAAATTCAGGCTGTGACTGATGTCAGTCAACTTTACAAAAAACAGCAGGATCCTTATCAAAACAGGTTTGTACATCCCATAGTTAAGATAACAATTGTACATAGGTGTTATATTTTGTTCTGGTGGTGGTGAACAAAGAGGTCTACCCCAACAACTCACGCTCTCCTATAGTGACCTACAAGCAGTACAGATGTTTCTTCACGATCTCAGATTTTATCTAAGCGGCTAAAGCCCTATTTAAACTGTATTTGAATCAAAACTTTGAACATTAGATTATTTTCTGAAAATGGATGGTATAAGCAAACCTGTCCCAACGATGATGACTATTCCAGAATTAGGAACTATGGGATGAAGAGTAGCAATGAAGCCAAAAGGGATGACTGAATTCTTAGCACATTATTTCTTAGCGTCTCCCCAGAACATTATTAATTGAGAATTAACTGTTCATTTCCCTAGACGATGAGGATTGCCACTAGTTTTATTTAATGGAACCACATCTTTTCTAATTGAGAAGATTATAACACTATGGCTGGCATATTCAGAGGTATACTTTCAGCAATTCTGTCAGCTCATAAAGTCAACTGGATGGAAAACAAATGGTCGTGTGTTTTTTTCTTCTCTCTCTCTATTCCTGCCTTTCCATCCTCATCTACTGAACTGGACTTCTTGTGGTGGTGTGGGCTCAGCTGACTGCTAGTTTGGGCATCTGAAACAGGTTTTCCCCATCTGGCTCTCAAAAGTGTCTGTGTTGGTTTTGCAAACTTCGTTTTGGTTTTAGGCATCTAAACTCTGTTGTTGAGAGTCTGGCAGCTTCCAGAACGTTTGGTGGGTTAGAAAGGGTTCAGCCTGAGGTCCCTGTAACCCGGTGGGCTGCCTTGGATGCCAGCCCAGAACATGGAAATACAACACGAAGGGGTACAGCTCCATGCCCCTTCCCCAATCTCACTGCTCCTGCCTGTGGCTACAAAGGAGAGGGACAGCTTCAGCCCTCCCTCCTGCTAGGACTCAGAGGTAAACCTCAGCAATGTCTCTCTCTGCAACACCACCGTCACATCCTTATACCATTCATCATCCACTCAGATCCAGGCTGAAATAGAACTGGAAGGCAGGTTAGGATGACTCCCTGCTAGAAAAAGCTTTTTAATAAAGCTGCAACCTCTATTAGTCAGTGGTCTTGGCTCATGCTTTTTGTGCCTGCTCGTTAAAGCTGTACACCAGTATTCTCTGCAGTGCTCTGTTTCATTAGTTTGCCATTAATAAATGCCGCCAGGAACATAACACGTGATTTCCCTACTCACAAAGCTTTTTTTGGCTCTGTAAAAAAGCATTCCTTACTGCCCTTTTACTTAACCATTATGGAAAAACAACCAGTCAGTCACACAACTAGCCACAAGACTCTGAGCAAAGCATGGTGAAGTTACAGCTGGTAATATCTTGTCTGTTGGATGGCCATCCTCTCCTGCACAGTTCTACTTCATCTTCTTTCCAGCACCCTGAACTCCACCTCTTTTTAACTTACTTGGGAGGAAATTTTGCAACAGCCCCTTTCCACTCTCTTGTTTTACTCATGGTAATCTTCTCTGTGTACCAGCATCATCTCCCATCCATAATCAAGCCATGAAGAGCTCACAGGTTCCATATAGTTGAGGTTAAAACCAGTGAAAAGGCAAAGATCATTTTGTTTTCAGCAACTCATCCTGATGCCTTGCAGTTCATCAACTTCACAGGGTATGAAGCTTCAGGGAGTCTTTATGCCTTTGTGGAGTTTTACTGCTCCCGCACAACAGAGTTTACAAACCTCCAACAATCAGCTGTCAGCTTTTAAAGTGTTCTTCCTTTCCGGCAGCAATCTCCCAAGGTCAAACAATTTATAAGAAAGCATACCAAAAAAGCTGTCCTTGATGACGGAAACCGAACAGACTAAATTTAGCATTTGTAAAATAAGCTGGCTTTGAGGACAGGAAGTTAAAAAATAAATTGCTAAACGTTTAACTCTTCAGTCAAATCACACAAAACCCCTTCTTAGTTGTCATTGTGCTGCCCCACCTCATTCTGCTCCGGCAGGAGAAATTTCAGGCAGGATAATTTTGTTTTGTCGGAGTTAAAGACGACTGAGATGAGAGAAATCATACTCCTACTGAAAAGTTATGCACAATTTTAACCATGTCGTTGCCACTGCTGTACCAGAACGCCAAGGCTCAGCCGTGCAGGTATGCAGTCTTCTGGGCAGGCAGTGCAGAACTGTGCTCAGCTAAAGCAGCTTTCAGCTCTGAACATCATACTTGGAAGGTGACATCTAAATAACCAGGAATATTCTGCAGTTTACAGATTTTCTAACACTTCACAGTAAAAGAAACACATGCTAGGTTCGAAATGACAAAAAGCACTTGCTCTAGCAGAACTCATGTTGCTTCTGCAGAGCACACAGATGGACTTACAAGTCTAACACCACGAGATGTGCAGGTGGATTGGGTTTAGGATATGGTGTATTCATCTTTGGTATACAATTTGGTTTTTAAAATTAAAATGGAGTATTTTCCTAATCTTTCAAGTACATAAGGGTAGAAAGCTCATCTCCTTGAAACTGCAGTTCTGTAGGTGCTTGCCATGAAGCATATGTACCTATATTGGGTTTTGTCCTGTCACACCCCAACTAGGCAGAGTATGAAACGCTGGCACATGGTTAGCTTGGGTAAGTAGCAGTTTGGGCACTTCAAAGAGCCCTGTAAGTTATGGCTCAAGTACCCAGTGCTTTACTCAGAGTCTTTTTTGATTTACCTTGCTAATCTAGGAGTAAACTCTCTTTAAAATTATGAGAAGAGAGGTTTTTGAAAACACCTTCCTATTACAGGAAATTACATTCACAACACTCACACGCTTCTGCGTGAAAATCTCCACTTCAACCAAAGCAACAAAATACTCTAAGCAGAAAAAGAAGTAATACAACCTGAAAAAAAATGAACTAAACAACCTCTACTTGAAATGCTCTGCTATCCCCCTGAAAAGAAGACATATCCAAGAATCAACTATGCTCACTTTGAGATGCGGTTATCATTATAAATCTGTATATGAGGGGTGCACCAGTACAGCGGTGACAGACAGCTGTATGAAGTCAGAAGTGTGAACATGTAGACAACTGAAAACTAAAACTAAGCAAAATACTTCAAAATTTGTTTCCAAATGCAAAAGCACCAAGTGAATAGGCATTTGTGCCTTTTTGCTCGAGGCTGCTGCTGCAGGCTTTCCCAGGCTGACAGAACTGCTCAGCTTGGATGTGTTGGACAAATGCACGAGGTCACGCTGAAGACGACGGCAAAATGCAAGACAGCTGGATCTTTCTGCTTTTTTTCTGGAAGCATAAATTAAAAAGGGGCTTACTATCAGTTTTCAAGAAAATGGTTGTGCAAGGTCAAGGTTAAATTTGTGTTCCAAGGAAGACAAGAGCTCCCCAAGGGACAGCACTCCCAAGTAAGGTTGTCTCAGATTCTGTTACAAGTCCCATTGAAGTTTTTCTAAAAAACACCAGTTGGCATCGAGAAAGACAAAGGGTAGAGTCCAGGCATTATTAAAATAAAAAAGAGGTTCAATGAAAATGCATTTTAAAAAACTGGAATTGATTCAACAGGAGAGACTGAGAGATACACACTTTAAAGTACTCGTGATTCACTTAATGTATCATTATCTCTGCATAACACTTGGATGTTTGATTTCAGAGTGGATGTTTCCAACCCTGAAGGCCTAAAAATAAAATTTCTAATCTCTTTGTGAGTCTGAAAAGGCAAAAGAAACTCAGCACATGCTATGAGGTGCAGGTGGCCTTTGTTAAGAGAGTGTTGCTAAATGTGTAGAACCTACACAAGATGCCCCAAAATACAAGGAATTAACTAAGAGCTGGGGAGACCAAATTCAAACCAACCATTCATAAATAGACAAGCAAAATTCAAGCTCCAAGGCTGTAAAAATCATCTCTTAACTTTTCCTGAACAGTCACATTATGGTGTAATTCCATAACTACTTCAACAATAAAAAAGTACCATGTGCTGCAACCTTTATTAAGAGCTCAAACTAGGTCTGGGGAAGTGTGCTTCAAAATGAAAGGAGATCCCAATGCAAACAGTATTAATTTTTAAATATGTTTATCAATGAACGCAAATACATCTAGTGTGAATTGACTTATTTTTAAATAATACATTTGCAAAGACACAGTAAGTGTTAAGGTTACTTGGCATTTAACTCTCCCGTCCCAAAACTGACAGGTTTACTGAAGGGTTTCTCCAAGGCACAGAAGGAGAACAAGCGATTACAGACCTCTACAGCCCAATAAACTAATCAGCCCCTGTACAATCTGGTACATTAAATGTAAGAATCATACATTTCTTGAACAAGAGGCCAAATTCTC